CCAGCTGTTTTTACTACAGCATTATCTTTGCTCCGTTCAGTTGCTGTGTTGCTAAGCTGCAGCACAATGCCTCGGAATTCGAGTGTCTCTGTATGAACCGGCTCCAGTGCCCTCAAGCTATTAAACTAGTTACCTAGCCATCAGGAAATGTCCCATATGTGCTTTACCTACCTTTTTGCTACTGTGTTACGAATTGCAAAAACACTTAATGCATATATTAATCAGTGAGATTGTGTGCGCTTGTATTATTCATCAGATCAATGTAGGTCATGCCGTGTGATGTTTTCGTAGGTGTGTGTTTAAATACCAGGTGTATTTGCTAATATGTGTAAAAGCAATTGTTTTGCACTAGCGAGTCATGTGAGAAGCTTCCTAAAACTCATTCACTTGCGAAACAGAAGCTTAATTTAATTTGATGCAACACAAACCATAGGGTTTTTTTTACTGTCAAATCAGACCAATTCTTTCATGACTATATTAATGACTCACAATAAAAACAAAACTACTATGTAAGCATATGAGCACTGTTTTATTAATCTAGGGTGTTTTATGCACTAATTGTGTTTAACGGTAACCACAGATTTCTGAATCACTTATCTTTGTGCTTAATGACTACAGGTGAAAATGAAATTCTTGATTCGCTCCAAAAGATTGCATCGAGGAACAAGATGTGGAATCTGTCTAGCTCTATCTATCTATCGGTCTATCCTTCTATACGTCTCTGTCTCTCCATCTGTCTGTCTGTCTCTCTACCATCTGTCTGTCTTTCTGTCTGTCTGTCTGTCTTTCTGTCTATGTCCCTGTCTGTCTTTCTGTCTATGTCTCTCTCTTTCTGTCTGTCTTTCTGTCTATGTCTCTCTGTGACCCAGCTAGCCGTCCGGCCAACAAAGTCAGGTACCGTGGTTCCGACGGTCTAGGGAGGAACTAGATAGGCATGGTACGACACACAAGATGTCATGCAAAAAGTGGTTTATTGTCTTCCCACGAGCGTAAGTGAGAGTGCTGAATAAATACAAAGTACAAACAAGGAAAAAAAGACAAATAAACAAAATAACAAAACGACTTAAGTTTGGTGCTCAAACTCAGCACCTTCACTGGGCTACACAAAACCACAAAGAAAATTACTGGAGCAGCGAACCTAGCACTACACAATGCTGACAAGCCCCATAGCTGGGCGCTGCAAAAACCCCCATTCTACAAGACAACAGGTGGTTTAAATAGAAATATTTCCTGCTAAACAAAATTGGACCAAACCAATTCAACAGAATTAACTCCTCATAGACAGTTCATCTTTCTCTAATAACACACTATTCCATAGCCATTTAAATAACAAAAGACAGCAACTAGCGCGGTAGACAACAGCAATCAATAGATACATACATACATAACAACAATGAAAGTAACTCAATGAAGTCAGAGTTACCCAAACAATACAACATGGTATGATCCTTGTTACCATGAGCGCATTCTGCCTACGCGCGCTGGCAGAATGAACCCAGGGACAGCGGAACAGGTAAATAACAACATGATGATTGCCGTTAACTAATGTCAGAAACCATAAATGCTTTTTACAACAACAAACAAAGTCATTGAAATTATTATGCATCTTTACCTAACAAAAACCAATGAAAGAAACAATACTTACAAATTGCAATGACTTGTATATAATGTGCATGATGATGATGTCCATAGGAAGATGCAAACCTCACGTGTACACAAAGGCTTCGCGAAAGCACGAACACCATATTATTTACAAACAATAGGCTTACATAATTTAATAGCCCACTCATACGCACAGATAAACAAACAACGGTATATATATATATATATATATATATATATATATTTTTATTATTTTTATTTTATTTTTTTTTCGAAATTTGAAAATTTGAAAAGAAATTGAGAGTAAAAAATATTTTTAAAAATCCTCATTTTTAATCCTAATCTAGTAAATCACAAAAACCGGAAAAGTCATGGGGCTTTCAAATGTTGTTATGGATAAAGTTGGCCTTGGTATCAAAAATATTGAGAAGCACTGATCTGAAAATTATTCAGCTCTCCTCCTACAATCATTTAAAAACACATCACCCTTCGTTGGTGAATCAATGAATTAAAAGATTTTTAGGAATTTGTATCCAGTAACTGAATTGGAAATGTCAGGGAAATGTATTTGTTCTATACAAGTTCTTGACATTACTTTACACTTCCTTTTGTGAAATAGTACTAAAACTGATTGGGTTTGCTAATCTTCTAGTTCAGAGAGTGAGGAAGAGGAGGAGGAAGAGGTGATCCTGACAGATGAAGAGATGAATAAACTGGGAGCCAAACTCGTCAAGGCAGAACTCATGGGAAACACGGTGAGCTCATCAGAACTCTTCTGGAAACCATGTGACCTAGACATTGATGCCCAAAAATGCTGTCTAATTAGGAAGCTCACTAGGTATCAAGACGGTCTTTGTGTGCTAGTAGTAGAAACAGATACTGATGGTATGTTCTGATTGTGTGTGAATAATCACAGGCGCTGGTGGAAAAGCTAAAGGCTCAGATGGAAGCCGCCCGTCGAGCCAAAGAGAACCGAGCTCAAAGAAAAGACCAGAACAAACAGGTTTCTGCACCAACAGACTCAGAAAAGGAAGTGATTCTGTTCAGGACCGACCCATGGGGACGAGCCTGGCCAGTCAAAGCCCCGTCCCAAACACAGGAGCCTAGAGGAGGAAGGAGGAAGCAGAAAGCGGTGAGACACACACTCACATATACAGCTTTGCTGGGTAGTGATAGCTAACTAAAGCTAAAACCATAAAAAAGCATTATTGTTAGTTAAAATAAAATAAAATAAAACTACTTGAAATAAAATAAAATAATAAATTAAAAAATTAAAATTAAAAAACTGAAATGTGTTTAATTTAAAATTAAAAATTAAAGCTGAAATAAATATATTTATTTAAAAAAACAATAACTAATAAAAATGGCAAAAACACACTGCAAAATTACTAAAACTTTAACTAAAAATGATGTATGTAAAAATTGTTATAATTATAATGTTATAAAATTATACATTAAAAATATAAAAAAAAAAAATTAAAATAATAATAATATATTGATATAACTGCAGCTCTGTTTCTATTACCGTATTGTCCCGAATATAAGACAATGTTTTTTTCTTGGAAATACATCTGAAAAAACACGCTTGTCTTATATTCAGGGTCTAGACTTTGACATGTCAATATACACCCACAACAATAGGTGGCGCCAAATACGCATAAAACGCGTGTGCCATGAAATACGTAATGTAATGCGTGTTGTAAAGATCGCGAGTAAAATCCAAAGAAAAAGAAAACCTTACAGCTGCATGAGTCGTGACTGTCACGTTAGCCTGATGGGACCAAACTCCCTTTGTGATTTTAAAACGTAAGACAGTACCCAGATTTGAAGACTACAGTAAGATTTAACTTCTACTGTTAATAAGATTTTTGTAGGCTACTATTAAAACATTCTCTACAAAATTCTACTACAAAACAGCTTGCACTTTGTCCACCTGCGGCCTAATAATACCTCCTCCCAGCATATAGCCCAGGTAAGAAACCTCTGACTTGGCGATGTAACACTTTTTGGCATTGGCAACCAAACCAGCCCGCTGAAGTCTATTAAACACCTCCGCCAAATGGTCCACATGTTCTTTCCAGGTCGTACTGTAAACAACGATGTCGTCGAGATATGCTGCTGCCACACCCTCCATCCCTCTCAAGACTTGATCCACCAGTCGTTGAAAAGTTGCTCCAGCCCCATGCAACCCAAACGGCATAACCCTAAAATGGTATAACCCACTAGGGACACGAAAAGCTGTCAGTTCTTTGGCAGACTCAGCCAATGGGACTTGCCAATAACATTTGCACAAGTCCAAGGTTGTCAGATACTTGGCTTTACCCAGACATTCGATTAGCTCATCAACCCTTGGCATTGGGTATGGATCGAATACTGATACCGAATTTAGTCTTGAAAAGTCCACACAAAACATTAGTGTGCCATCTTTCTTTGGTGCCAGTACCACGGGACTGCACCAGTCACTTGTTGAGGGTTCAATGATTCCTAAATCCAACATCATCTTTACCTCTTCTTTCAATGCCGGGATCAGGCGAGCCGGAACTCTACAATGAGTTTGTCTAATAGGGTCTGATACCAAAAGATGGATTTTATGTTGTATCAGGCTCGTCCTTCCCGGCTTGTCTCCAAACAGCCCTTCTGGTATAATCTTTCTGAGTTCATTCTGTTGCTTAAGAGGGAGGTGATCCACAGCTGGGTACACTGAAGAATTTTGACCAGTGGGGAAATACTGCTCCTCCAGTTCCTCTTCCTCCTCCACCGCTCTTGCCCATAGCTGATCAGACAAAGACCCCTTGCTTTCATGCCAAGACCTTAAGAGGTTAATGTGGAAGACTTGAGACTTTTTACGACGATCAGGCAAAGAGATCTCGTAGTTGGTAGGGCTCACCTTCCGTAGTACCTCATATGGCCCTTGCCACTTGGCTAGCAACCCGGTGTCCAATGTCGGGAGAAGTAGCAAGACCTTCTGACCCGGGACCAATGTCCTCTTTCTAGATGACCGGTCAAGTTTTTTGTCGTTGTTGTGCCTCAGCCATGTTAAACTGTACTATCTCGACCAGCAAGTCCATCTTTTCTCTCATCTTGATAACATAAGACGGCGACCAAACCAGCCCGTTGAAGTCTATTAAACACCTCCGCCAAATGGTCCACATGTTCTTTCCAGGTCGTACTGTAAACAACGATGTCGTCGAGATATGCTGCTGCCACACCCTCCATCCCTCTCAGGACTTGATCCACCAGTCGTTGAAAAGTTGCTCCAGCCCCATGCAACCCAAACGGCATAACCCTAAAATGGTATAACCCACTAGGGACACGAAAAGCTGTCAGTTCTTTGGCAGACTCAGCCAATGGGACTTGCCAATAACCTTTGCACAAGTCCAAGGTTGTCAGATACTTGGCTTTACCCAGACATTCGATTAACTCATCAACCCTTGGCATGGGGTATGGATCGAATGCTGATACCGAATTTAGTCTTGAAAAGTCCACACAAAACCTTAGTGTGCCATCTTTCTTTGGTACCAGTACCACGGGACTGCACCAGTCACTTGTTGAGGGTTCAATGATTCCTAAATCCAACATCATCTTTACCTCTTCTTTCAATGCCGGGATCAGGCGAGCCGGAACTCTACAATGAGTTTGTCTAATAGGGTCTGATACCAAAAGACGGATTTTGTGTTGTATCAGGCTCGTCCTTCCCGGCTTGTCTCTAAACAGCCCTTCTGGTATAATCTTTCGGAGTTCATTCTGTTGCTTAAGAGTGAGGTGATCCACAGCTGGGTACACTGAAGAATTTTGACCAGTGGGGAAATACTGCTCCTCCAGTTCCTCTTCCTCCTCCACCGCTCTTGCCCATAGCTGATCAGACAAAGACCCCTTGCTTTCATGCCAAGACCTTAAGAGGTTAATGTGGAAGACTTGAGACTTTTTACGACGATCAGGCAAAGAGATCTCATAGTTGGTAGGGCTCACCTTCCGTCGTACCTCATATGGCCCTTGCCACTTGGCTAGCAACCCGGTGTCCGATGTCGGGAGAAGTAGCAAGACCTTCTGACCCGGGACCAATGTCCTCTTTCTAGATGACCGGTCATGCCAAGTTTTTTGTCGTTGTTGTGCCTCAGCCATGTTAAACTGTACCATCTCGACCAGCAAGTCCATCTTTTCTCTCATCTTGATAACATAAGACAAAATGTTTGTTTGCTCTACCGGATTATCTCCTTCCCAGGCCTCCTTCAAGATATCTAATGGTCCTCGCACTTGGCATCCATAAAGCAGCTCAAATGGTGAATAGCCTGTTGATGATTGGGGGATCTCTCGGTATGCAAAGAGAAGGTAAGGTAGCCAATGGTCCCAGTCCGCCCCTGTTTCTGATACAAACTTACGCAGCATGGCTTTTAACGTTTGATTGAATCTTTACACCATACCATCGGTCTGAGGATGGTAAGGTGTGGTATGTATGGGGCGTATGCCTAGCATGGAGTAAACTTGTTTGTGGCCTAACTGCAACACTTGTTCCCTCATAGAAACCGGAACTACCAATCATTCCCCCTCTGCACCCTGCCAGTATAACCTGTCATTTTTTACCACATACCGTTCCTTTTGTGACACCAATGTCTGAGGACTCTGACTAATAGCTTTCTCCAATAGTAGTTGTAATGACTTGTCTTGCCTTTGTAACTCCACTATATTGTGTGGAATCTGCACAATATCATCAAAGCAAGGTTTAGTTAGCTCCTCACAAATGTTTTTGCCCTCCATTTTCTTTTGCCGTTTCTCACGTCTCGATTTCTTAATTTTAAGCTCTCTTTTAACCCGCTGCACTGCTGTTATTGTTTCTCCAACGCCTTGGCTGGTATACTGATCATCTTGCAGCCATGAAGGTTTCAGCCAACTCTGCTGCCTGTCTTGATGAAGTGGGGTTGTTCTGTTTTACCCACATTCTTGTCAGGATTAAGGAGTTTGAGGAACTGTTCTAAAACTATTTGGTCTCCAATTCCTTCCTTGGTTCGAAGCCTGGGATTCATCCATTTTTCATACAAGTCCTTCAGTCTCACCTGAAGCTCTTTTGGAATCTCGTCCTCCTGGACCCTGTAGGATCTGAATCTCTGACGATATGTTTCAGCATTAATTTCAAATTTGTCAAGGATAGCTTGCTTGACATAATTATAATCCAAGGACTCCTCAGGCTCCATGGCCACATAGGCTGCCCTCGCCTTGCCAGTAAGAAGAGGTAGAAGATGCAGTGCCCAATCCTGTCTGGGCCATCTGCATGCCTGAGCAATTCGTTCAAATGTCGTTAGATAATGCTCTATATCCTCATCTTCAGTCCATGGCAGCATTCTTGGACTTTCATAAGTTGGCATTGAAGACCTATGGCGTTGTACTATACCATCCTGTATTGAAGCTGATGCAGATGCATTATCCTGGGCAGTCTGCCAGGTCTGTTGATGTGGATGAGGGACTGGAGGAGTGGTGTGGGCTGAAGCTAATGGTGAGGTGGCAGGTATTGTCAATCCTCCCCTTGACTGTTGCTCTTGCTTCTCCTGATGTACCTCAGACTGCAGCTGTATAAACTGATGATGCAATGTACGCCATCTGTGCTCTTGACGCTGTGACTCTTTATCTCTGTCCTCATCTCTTTGACGTTGTTTTTGCAGAAAAGTCTGTAACATAGACCTGAGAGTATCTATCCCCTCCTCAGATAACTCCTCTTCATCATCTGCACATACATCCCCTCTTCCTGACTGGTCTGGAGCCAAAACATTTGAGTTGGGCTTTACCACTTTTGCAACATCATGTTTCTTTGGCGGCATTGTCCATTTCTTAATGCAAAGAAAAAAAAATGTCGACCAGCCTCTTAAAGACCTGGAAGCACCGCTGCCACCATATGTGACCCAGCTAGCCGTCCGGCCAACAAAGTCAGGTACCGTGGTTCCGACGGTCTAGGGAGGAACTAGATAGGCATGGTACGACACACAAGATGTCATGCGAAAAGTGGTTTATTGTCTTCCCACAAGACTAAGTGAGAGTACTGAATAAATACAAAGTACAAACAAGAAAAAAAGACAAATTAACAAAACAACTTAAGTTTGGTGCTCAAACTCGGCACCTTCACTGGGCTACACAAAACCACAAAGAAAATTACTGGAGCAGCAAACCTAGCACAACACAATGCTGACAAGCCCCATTGCTGGGCGCTGCAAAAAAAAACCTTCTACAAGACAACAAGTGGTTTAAATAGAAATATTTCCCGCCAAACAAAATTGGACCAAACCAATTCAACAGAATTAACTCCTCATAGACGGTTCATCTTATTCTGCCTACGCGCGCTGGCAGAATGAACCCAGGGACAGCGGAACAGGTAAATAACAACATGATGATTGCCGTTAACTAATGTCAGAAACCATAAATGCTTTTTACAACAACAAACAAAGTCATTGAAATTATTATGCATCTTTACCTAACAAAAACCAATGAAAGAAACAAAACTTACAAATTGCAACGACTTGTGTATATAATGTGCATGATGATGATATCCATAGGAAGATGCAAACCTCACACAAAGTGTGTACACAAAGGCTTCGCGAAAGCATACGAACACCATATTATTTACAAACAATAGGCTTACATAATTTAATAGCCCACTCATACGCACAGATAAACAAACAACGGTGCATTAAACTGGCGCTCCGGTGATGACGTCATCTGACCGATCGTCATCACACTCTCCATCTGTCTGTCTGTCTTTCTGTCTATGTCCCTCTCGATCTGTCTGTCTTTCTGTCTGTCTCTCTCTCTCTGTCTGTCTGTCTTTCTGTCTATGTCTCTGTCTGTCTGTCTTTCTGTCTATGTCTCTCTCTTTGTCTGTCTGTCTCTCTCTCTTTGTCTGTCTGTCTCTCTCTCTCCTGTCTTCTGACTGTCTGTCTGTCTGACTGTCTCTCTCTCTGTCTGTCTGTCTGTCTGTCTCTCTGTCTGTCTGTCTTTCTGTCTATGTCTCTGTCTGTCTCTCTTTCTGTCTATGTCTCTCTCTTTGTCTGTCTGTCTCTCTCTCTCTGTCTGTCTGTCTCTCTCTCTCTCTCTCTATCTATCTGTCTGTCTGTCTCTCTCTCTCTCTCTCTATCTATCTGTCTGTCTGTCTCTATCTATCTGTCTGTCTCTATCTGTCTGTCTGTCTGTCTATGTCTCTCTCTATCTGTCTGTCTATGTCTCTCTCTGTCTGTCTGTCTATGTCTCTCTCTATCTGTCTGTCTGTTTGTCTGTCTTTCTGTCTATGTCTCTGTCTGTCTGTCTGTCTTTCTGTCTATGTCTCTATCTCTTTACTCTTCTGTCTAGCCTTCTATCTGTCTGTATTGATTAAGACTAAAAGTTTGTATCCTTTAGTTACATTGGTGTGAAGACTGTTCTCAAGCTTCCTCATGAGATGGACTTCAGTGGGAAGGATGTTAGCGGTGTGCTCTTCCAGTATCCAGACACTGAGGGCAGAGTGGAAGATTTCACTGCACTTGTTGATCAGGCTCACAAGGGTGGTGTATGTACCTCTCACCTCTCTGTTATTATAAAATTCACATTTACAGTTGCTGATACCAGTTTTTGCATATATTAGGTTTTACTTGAACCATTAATTCCAAATGAATTTATTCACCCTCATGCCGCTCCAAACCTGTTTGACTTGTTGTATTTTTTTTCCCTGTGAAACACAAAAGAGGAATTCTCAAAGAACACACTGTTCTTTCCGTACTACTAAATTGTTTAGGGCTGTCAATCACTGATGTGAAACTTGGTGTGACCCATCTTCATGGCAAGTTTGAATATAAGGAAGTGAGATTTGTTACATGGAGGGAAAAAAAAGTCATACAGGTTTGGAATGACATGAGGGTGAGTAAATTACGACAACTGTAATTTTTGGGCGAACTATACAAGTGGTCCATAATTGCGACAACAGAATCTGTTATTAGTTTTTGTGCACAGATCTATTGCAACAGCTGATTTAGACATGTTCAAAGCACTAGACCTGATTTTTGTTTTTTTGGGTCCATTTTATTTTAAAGGCACTGGCTTGCTGTGCCACAGACTTGCTGGCGCTCTGTGTGTTGCGTCCTCCTGGTGAGTTTGGAGTTGACATCACCTTGGGCAGCTCTCAGCGCTTTGGAGTGCCTCTCTGCTATGGTGGGCCTCATGCTGCATTCTTTGCAGTCAAAGAAAATCTGGTTAGGATGATGCCAGGAAGGATGGTCGGAGTGACCAGGTAAGTCTGTAATTTATAGTCTCAAGGCTTCAGTGTACTTTGCTTCATCGGTGCTGGTATCAGCTGTCACATGTTTCCTGTTACAGAGATGCAGCTGGTAAAGAGGTTTATCGTCTGGCTCTCCAGACCAGAGAGCAGCACATCCGCAGGGACAAAGCCACCAGCAACATCTGCACTGCCCAGGTAGAGCTTAACAAATCTGAATATACAGTATGTATATGTGACCCTGGACCACAAAACCAGTCATAAGGGTCAATTTTTCGAAATGGAGAATTATACATCATCTCAAAGCTGAATAAATAAGCTTTCCATTTATGTATGGTTTATTAGGATGGGGCAATATTTGGCCGAGATGTAACTATTTGAATATCTGGAATCTGAGGGTGCAAAAGAAAAAAATATTGAGAAAATCACCTTTAAAGTTGTCCAAATGAAGTTCCTAGCAATGCATATTACTAATCAAAAATGAAGTTTTGATGTATTTATGGTAGGAAATTTACAAAATATCTTCATGGAACATGATCTTTACTAAATATTCTAATGATTTTTGGCATAAAATAAAAATAGATAGTTTTGACCCATACAATGTATTTTTGGCTATTGCTACAAACATACCCCAGCGACTTAAGACTGGTTTTGTGCTCCAGGGTCACATATATTTGTGAAGTTGAATGACTGTACTCAATTTTATTGTTTCATTTAGGCTCTTCTTGCAAACATGGCTGCCATGTATGCGTTGTATCAAGGTCCTCAAGGATTGAGGCACATTGCAGAGAGAACCCACAATGCAACGTTGATTCTCGCTGAGGGCAAGTTGTTTGACTCCTGTTTACTTTTTACTTTTAATAAGAATTTGATAAGAAATTTTGTGATACTGATTGTTTCTCATTGTTATAATAGGACTAAAAAGAGCAGGGCACAAACTCCAACATGAGAACTTCTTTGACACGCTGAAGATCAACTGTGGTGTGGCTGGCAAGGACATCTTAGAAAAAGCTATGCAGCGGGAGATCAACTTACGGGTGTACAGTGATGGACTGGTGAGGCCGGTGAAAATGTTTAAAATAAAACACACAGACGGTGTTCATTTTATGTATTGTTTTATAAATATATATTTTTTACAAGATTGCATTTTTATTTCAGTTATTTTTATTATTAATTTAATGTTTATCGATGTGGTTTTAGCTTGGAGTGTCTCTGGATGAAACTGTCACTGAGAGAGACTTGGACGATCTGCTCTGGATCTTCGGTTGTGAATCCTCAGCTGTAAGTTCTTGCCTAAATCCAAAAGATTTCAATTATTCTTTAAAAATAATCTAGTCTCCTTGCCCCAATGAGATCTCATCTTTTTGACATTTATCAGGAACTTATTGCTGAGAAAATGAGTGAACGAACAAAAGGATTGCTGGCAAGCCCTTTCAAGAGAACCAGCAAGTTTCTTACCCATACAGTGTTTAACAGGTTTGTTTGCCAGTTTTAATGCTAGTTGTTGTTTCTAACAAATCTGTTTATCAATGAAACTTGCTTCAAAATCAGAAAAACATGTATAGATGTGCTGTTTTTCAGTATAATAATTACTTGAATATATTGCTTCAATTTCAGTTATCACTCAGAGACCAATATTGTACGTTACATGAAGCGCCTGGAAAATAAGGATATTTCCCTCGTACACAGTATGATTCCTTTGGTAAGTAAAGAATCAGAGTTTACTTTGGAGTTTATCCACTGTAAAGATTTAACATGCAAACATCATAGTAAACTGCTGTTGAATCCAGGGTTCGTGCACAATGAAGCTGAACAGTTCCTCAGAGCTCATGGTGAGTCTGTGTTAATCTGCTCTTTTACATCTGCACTCCTTTTTACTGCTGTATCCAAAACTGTATCTCTGGCATTGCCTCATTTCAACCAGTCTGATCTTTTCACGGTTTCATTGTAACCTTTTCACAACAGCCAATCACCTGGAGAGAATTTGCAAACATCCACCCTTTCGTGCCACTGGATCAGGCTGAAGGTTATCAGCAGCTCTTCAGACAGCTAGAGAGAGACCTTTGTGAGATTACAGGATATGAGAAGATCTCCTTTCAACCAAATAGGCAAGTGTCCTGCCTGATATTGTTGTTACAATATCAAGAATGTGATTTATTTTAATTTCAGTCAACAGTGTTCTTGTAGTTGACAAAGCAAATATCAGTTTCATTCAGGTTTCTGATGCTGATAAGCTTTGAGGGTGTGTAGGCATCTATACGTTCTGCATTGTTGACACTTTAACAGGATCATTAGCATACTGTACTCTTGGGCAAGGGCCTTTTGAAGCAATCTTTGAACTCTGCTGTGCTCAGGCAGAAAGGTTACATATACATGATGCTATTGATTTTTCTTTGTCCCGTAGTGGTGCGCAGGGGGAATATGCAGGCTTGGCTGCAATCAAAGCCTATCTAAATTCCAAAGGAGAATCTCACAGAACAGTGAGTATCATCCTGCAGTGAAACACTCTTTAGCAAAGTCTCCTCTCATTTAACTTCAAGCCTCATGTTTTGCCTCAGGGCCATTTAAAAACATAAGTGATATTTGAAGTATCAAGTTGACCCTCATAACTTTTCCTAATCTTGGAAAAGAATGGGAAAAAAGATTTCCTAAACCTAATCTGATAACACTCTTTGAATGTCCTCCATAAAAAAAATTCAAAGTAGGCCAAATAGACATAATTATATAAGTATAATTTAATATTACATAATATTTATGATATAATATTAAATATTGTATTATATTTGTATATACAAATATAATATATACAGACACTTTTGTTGTTTCTTGTATTTAGATTTTTGGTTTAAAAAAAAAAAAAACTATGAAAATTGAGTTTTTAAAAATGACACCCATAAGTGATTTAACTCCTGACAAAAATAGAATTGCTGCTGAAAGGAAAGCAAATGGTTCATGAGTAATACAAAAAGTTAAATTCTCCTCACAGTGAAAAGTGGAAAATGGGTTAAAGTGTTTTATACCTGAGAGAAAATAGCTGAAAAAGTGGTAAATTGTTAGTGGGGAGTGGAAAGAAAGTCAGTGATAAGAACGTTTAGTCAAGTCATTGCAGTGTTTTGTAATCTGGCCTTGTTTTTTTTATTTTTTTATCATCTTCCTAATAAGCAGATCTTAGATAGCGGATGCAGCTCTTAAACCAGCCAAGGTTCAAACTGCCATGGTTGAGTAAATAGCCATAGAAAACAACCACCCTGTTACAGGATTCAACTTCAGTGCAAGACTCCATATTTGGAGATTTTTAAGACATGCAGTCCTTGGACGATAAGTTTGTTCATGGTGACCTATTGAAAATTGCATAATGCTAAGCGTTGTGTCCTTAGTTCAGAATGTCTGTCATATAGTCTGTTATGACATTTTATTTGACATTAAAGTTGAATTGGAGACGTTCGATTAAAATTGAATACACCCAAATGAACAATTGCCAACAGCCAATTTAGCAGCCTCATGCCAATTTAAATGTCTCTGGAACACAAAAGGATTCATAATGAAAGTAGACCTAAACATATGGCTCCATGAAAGTAGTCCATATGAGCTACAATAGCTTCATGCAGAACAGACCGAAATTTGTTTTGATGAAAGTCATTAATTTGCAGAATATGCATAATCTCAAATGTGAGATCACATCTTGCCAAGATTAGTGCTGTATATATTCCCCCGGTTTCACAGACAAGGCTTAAGTTTAGCTTAAGACTAAAATGCATGTCTGAGAAACTTGCACTGACATTTCTTAAAATAAATTAGTGGCATTGTTTTGTCACAAGATGCACACCAGTAATGCTTTTTCTAAGGCACGTTTATAAAAGATACTTAAATGTCCTAATTGGACAGGCCTAATCCTGGCTTAACCTAAGCTCTGTCTGTGAAACCAGGCCCTAGTGTATAACGAAGACAACAAAAAAAAATGGATTGAGTGCATGTTAAACGAACATTAAAGATGAAGAATACAGTTTCTGCGCTAATAGTGTCACCCTGTGAAATTACAAAGCACAACCATTGCAGATGCTCCTTCTGTAACGGAATCTGAATTTCTTTTCCCATGTAACGTGTCAGCTATTGTCCCACACTGACTAAACACCCTCTGGATCAGTCTGCTACAGTAGCAATGCCCCAAACTCTCGCTATTGGTTGAGCTTGATCTGAGAAGATCTCTAAATGTTTTGATGGTGCCTGGGAGACTCAATGTTTACACTTTTTGGGGAGACAAAACCATGAATGGCATATATTTTTTTTGTTTGTTTGTATTCTTATTTTGTCCATTAATCTTCTATTTCAAATCTGTTATGAATTCATTAAGGTTTGTCTGATTCCCAAATCCGCTCATGGAACAAACCCTGCCAGCGCTCAGATGGCAGGCATGAAGGTTCAGGTGGTGGAGGTGGATAAAGATGGCAACATTGATGTGTCTCACCTTAAAGCCATGGTATGTACAATGATTTAAAATGTCACATTGCATCTTTTGTCAACAGGAAGCCTTTATCTTCTGTTAGAGAGCTATTTACACTGATACACTTGTCTATGATAACATTATCTTGTCCGTGTCAAAGGTGAAGTGTGTAATTTCTGCCTCACTAGCAGCACCAAACGAAATTGCAAAAATGACGAGGTTAAAAACTGGTGTAGCAAATTAGCTGAAGGGAAATTTATATAAATAATTACAGTTAATTATGATTAATTACAATTATTTATATCAGCTGCCAGTAGTAACTGTAGCAGAATTAAATTGCCATCAACCAATCTGTTCGTCCAGCGAACATTCAGTGTAAGTTCATATCAACTCTAGGAAAGGATATTTCTGTGGCCACAGAAAATACTTTCATACAGTATTAATGCATTAGAGCATGTAGTAAGGATCAAAATCGTAAAGGGGCATTAATTTGCAAGGCAGAATCAGAAACTCGTGTAATTTGTGCACGAGTTTTATTAACTAAACACTTAACACAAACTAGTCTAACAAACAAACAATCACTCATACATGGGAAATCGATCAAATTTACAGTATATTATTGATTGGCCCTAAACTGATTACTATTCGGTTAATCATACACTCAACACAGGAAATGCAGTTTTCCTAATCGTTTACACATTTATCACAATTGCTTTAGAGTAATAATAA